AATGGCCATGTGTACACTTTCTGACACTTTTACCCTCCTTAAATACTTAATACTCTTTATCATCATCACAAATTCATCTACAGGGGCACGTATTGGTACACACACACACACAACACGCATGTATATATATATATATTGTTACGACATCGAGGTCACATGACTAGTATCACGCCACGTTATTCTCGAACTTTCACGTCTTTTCCTTAAATCTCGTGATCTTTCTAGATATAGTGTAGGCTTGTATATGCTGTTCATTAAGAGTATTAACATTGAATAATGTATAAGCAAGCAGTTTTACTGCTTGCTTGTACATTGTTTAATGTTAATACTCTTAATGAACAGCTTTATAATAATAAACTATATCCCTTCATTGTTAAGTACTACCGTACTTAATAACAATACACTATACCCTTTCATTGTGCCAGCTTTCACTAATTTAAATACTTCAAGAGAATTAAGATAACAAGTTATGTGTCTTTTCCTTGATTTTTTTCTCAGTTTTGTTTATCTTCCTCCCTTGCATATTTTACTCAGATCGTTTGGCATGCATATGAAGTAGTGAGTGAAAATTTAAGCCGAACGTTTCCTTGTTTCGTTTATTTCGATATTGCTGTGTTTTCTAAGCATTTGAAGATTAAATTTGAGTTATAAATTCCTTGTCACTTAAAAAAGAAGTACAGTAAATTGAACTAAATGTAACGATTGATTGCTTATTGCAGAGATAATCAATAACATTCTAGAGTTCTATCTTATTCTCTAGTCATTCAAAAGTAACTGTGTACGACTTTCTTACAGCTCTAGAACTTTTTGATATTAATTGTTTTAGTTTCTCTGCTTCATTAAGATGTGTTTGTGTAAAATTACTGAACCTAAATATACATAAAATACAATGTATCTAATTTCATTAAATTTGGTCTCTTTTTACGAATCTTTTGTTTATTTAACAGTAAATTTTTGTAATACGATAAACGAAATAATAACCTAGCTGTCTGAAAAATGTTTAAGTATGTTCACCCTAGTTTTTGCACACTTTCTTATTTCAAGTAGAGTTTATACAGTTTAATATGACGTCCATTCCGTTGTACAGCGATATTTACAAACAAACGTCTTGCCATTTCAAGTTAAACGTAGGAAAGTTTAAACTCAACAGCAGTCATATGATTCACCTACTTTATATTTCTTTTAATTCTTCCTACATTCTTGTGTATAAAATAAATAAATAAAAACTAATTTTATCTAGGAAAAAACTATCGCATTTAACTGATGCTGTTTTTTGATATTTCATGTAACTTCAAAGTGTATAAAATGCTAACATATAAATTATACGAGGCCTCATCTCGTATTCAATAAATATTATTTCTAAGGAATACTCTTAACTTTTATGCACGTAGCAGATCAAATGAGCTGTACAGATTTTGGTGTAAAATTTCTAGATATTTTGCGGGACCATGACATGTAGGTATGTACGTAGTATATGTATATATATATATGTGTGTGTGTGTGTAATCCAAATAAGGATGTTTTCTTTAGAGATTTTCTTTTATACCGTCCTGGGTATCTAGTTCAATGTATTACACAGCACAATAAGATATATTTTTTTCCCAAAAATTTCAAATCACTATAAGCATAAGATCCACAACTAACTTAAACGTAATATAGAAGAACTGGTTATAAACTTTTTGTTTAAAGTCACCCCAATTAACGAACAACTTAATACGAAAACATACAGGTCACCTAAAGGTCAAAAACATAAATGTTCCATGTGATATCCTTTGAGTAGAGCTTTAATCAAACACGGGTGGAAGTCTTATCTTTGAAGGTCTGTTTTAATACCCAGAAAAAAAAGACAATAAATAATATATATATATATATATCACATATGAAGTGTTAACTTTTGAATACGTTCTTGATTTGGGAAGTTTATGTACTACACTTTATAATGAACAGCTTTATAAAACTGCTTGCTTGTACATTGTTTAATGTTAATACTCTTAATGAACAGCTTTATAAAACTGCTTACTTATACATTGTTTAATGTTAATACTCTTAATGAACAGCTTTATAAAACTACTTGCTTGCACATTGTTTAATGTTAATAATCTTAATGAACAGCTTTATAAAATTAAGTATGGTAGTACTTAACAATGAAGAGATATAGTGTATGATTTTTAAGTATGATAGTACTTAACAATGAAGAGATATAGTGTAATTATTATTAATAAGTACGGTAGTACTTATTAGTAAGGATCGTGATGAAACAAAATGGCAGCCATAAAAATTGCCCGTTTAAATCCACCTTTAAAATCTTTGAACATTAACAATGAATATTTCATAGTATTGTATGAACAAAACTAAAGCTTATTGTACTTATAAAGCCACCTAAATCGCTATATACTTGTTTATGGAGTGAATCAAAATTTCACTATTTCAACGAATCTTTATCCAAGTAAGTAAGTAAGTGATTTTTCCAGACAAGCGTACAAAACAAATGAAGAACCTTAGCGTTCTAACTCTTTCACAGAATTATTCCGTCTGGGATCCCAATGATTCCTTTCTTGTAATGAGATTTGAGCATTTGAGGGTAGGTTGGAAGAGGTCCTGATGATTAATAAAATCTAATCGGATATACCTGCGCCCCACACTCGGTTTGTTTGTTTGTTTTTGGATTTCGCATAGCTACACAAGAGCTATCTGCGCTAGCCATCCCTAATTTAGCGGTGAAATACCAGTGGAAAGGCAGCTAGTCATCACCACCCACCGCCAACTAGTGTGCTACTCTTTAATCAATGAATAGTGGGATTGACCGTCACATTATAACGCCCCCATGGTTGAAAGGACAAGTATGTTTGGTGGGATGGGGATTCGAACTCACGACCCTCATATTGCGAGTCAAGCACCCTACCCACGCTTGGTATTGCTGACGCACAAAATATAGCTAATAAAAATGAAACAAACAAGTACAATAAAAAATGCATAATTTCATAAAGACAAGCAGGAATCGATATGTACGTAACCTAGCCAGCTATAATAATATAGAAAGTTTTAACACTACGAAAAGTATCGAAACAAGAAAGTCAAAAACTGAGTCACTTAGAATTTAAAAACATTTCTTCCTACTTTGGCAAACCACTGTAATTATGTTAACTTCAGCCAAAGTAGGGATTTTGTTTTTTTAATTTTAAGTAACTCATTTCTTCCTACTTTGGCAAACCACTGTAATTATGTTAACTTCAGCCAAAGTAGGAATTTTGTTTTTTTAATTTTAAGTAACTCATTTCTTTCTACTTTGGGAAACCACTGTAATTATGTTAACTTCAGCCAAAGTAGAGATTTTGTTTTTTTAATTTTAAGTAACTCATTTCTTTCTACTTTGGGAAACCACTGTAATTATGTTAACTTCAGCCAAAGTAGAGATTTTGTTTT